ACCCCCACAGTTTTAGCTACCACCTATATGCTCTCGCTCTTTTTCTGTCTTTTTCTTTCTCAGATGTGTGTGTGTGTGTGTGTGTGTGTGTGTGTATGTGTATGTGTATCCGTATCCTACTTAAGCCCCTTTTCCAAGTTTATTTGCCCACTAGACAGTTCCATTTCAGTGTCCCATGGGTACTTCAAATTCAGCATACGCACAACTCATCTGTCACTCCTAAATTTGCATTTCTTATCTTATTCTCTACTTGTTTGAGGCCCCATGATCAACCTAGTTTCCCAAGACAGAAATATGGAAGGCACACTTGACTCTTCCTTTTCTTTTGCCTCCTACATATCTAATCAGTCACTAAATCCTATCAATTTTACATCCTTGGTATCTTTTGAATCCATCCGTTCCTTTCCATTTCTATAGCCTTAGCTCAGTGCTTTATCACTTATAGCATGGATTTTTTACAAGAGCCTGTAGCTGATCATGCTCCTTGTTTAATATACAGATCCATTCATCTCTTCTCTGCCCCTGGCCTACAGCCTTTCAATGACTCTCCATCAACTATAGGATAAAGTTCAAGCTTAGCATAACATAAAGGCACCTGTGATCTAGCCCCTACCTACCTGTGGAGTTTTTTCGCCTGTCAGTGCCGCTACCCCCACCCCCACTTTGTACGTTACACAGTTCTCTAAGCATACTTTGTTTCTTATCTCTCTGCTGTTCCCTCTCCCTGAATGTCCTTTCTTTTACTTTTTCCTTCTCTTTCCACCCTCAGAAGCCACTCAAATTTTTAATGTGATTGGTTTATTAAGAATTGAGTTGTAAAGGGAAAGGACTTTCTGAATCTGTTTCCTGTGGGACTCTGCCTTTGCCTCTTGGAGGTACATATGTCTCGGGGGAGAATTTTCAAATGCTGCTTGTGTACCTAAGGATTAAATTCTCTACACAGACTTTATTTGGCCCTAAGAATCTTTATTTAAACATCTCAGCTATCTTCTTTACTTGTGTGTGTGTGTGTGTGTGTGTGTGTGTGTGTGTGTGTACACGGTGGGGAGCATTCAGGTTCAGGTGATTTAGTTACTCAATATTCTTCACCTAATAATACACCATCCTCAGTCTGTATACCACCTTTCCCTTTTTATTGTATTTTTCCCTTCTTCATCCCATTCCTTATTTTACCTTCTTTGATCGTTTTCTTTTTTATATAAAAATTTTGACTACTTTATATTTTTCCAGAAATTGATCTAAGCCAGTGCTTTCCAACCAGGTCATGTTGCTGCAAATGTCGAAAATAATATTTGCATTGCACAGTAGGGTATATGAGGCCAAAGGCTACATACAGACTTAAGGGTTTCTGGTTACCCCAGATCTCATGGACCACCCTGAGAGCTAAGAGCAATATCCCAGCATAAGTATAGCCCATTTATGTTACTTGCCATGATACCCCAGTTGAGGCTTGATCTAGACTTTCAAATTTCTTTGTATATAGTTCATATCTGTCAATGATGTTGCAATGGATCACGAAGATAGAATTGTTAGTATAGCTCCTGTCTTTAGTATGAAAAAGCAAAGCAGTAATTCATTTTAATTAACCCAGGCTTAGGTCAGCTGCTGCTATGTATCTGAGGGCAGGAAAAGGGCAGAATGAAATGATCTCTACAAAGCAGGACAGAAATATTACAATCAGGTTGGGTCACTAGACTCATGTTCCTGGACTGGCATGTGGAAGGGAATAGCTTACCATTATAGACCACTGCCTACTTATTCAGACCTACAGGCAAAGGAAAGTCTGGTCTTACAAATTATTTTAATACTTGAGCGACAAATTTATCCTGGAGAGGATAGAAAATCACAAAATAAGTTTGATTTCTCAATGTTATCCAGCACAGCCGTTTTCAAACTATGTCAGGAAGACTTTACACTCTTAAAAATTATCAAGGACCCCAAAGAGTTTTTGTTTATATGGATAATATCTATCAATATGTACTGTTTTAGAAATTAAAATGGAAAAATGTTAATGTATTTATTAATTCATTTATAAATAACAATAAATTGATTACTTGGTAATATAATTAACATTTTATGAAAAATAACTTTTCCAAAATAAAAAAAATGTGAGAATAGCATTATTTTACATTTTTGCAAGTCTCTTTAATATCTGGCAGCTGTATTCTCATGTCAGGATCTGCATTCAGTCTATTGTGATATGTCATGTAACTTGTGGAAAATTCCACCACACACCCATGAGAGAATAAGAGAGAAAATAATTATTACGAAGTTATAGAATTATTTTGAGAATAGTTTTGACCTTGCAGGCCTCCTGAAAGGATCTCTCACACCCCTGGGAGTTTCCAGGGCATGCTTTGAGAAATGCTGATCTAGCAGAAAGGATGAATGCTAGACTCTTTGTCTGGAGTTTGACCAACCGAAATACCTAAGTTATTTTAAATGCCAGGTGAATGATATGGAATAGATACATGATTAAGTCTGAACTTTCTCAAAGTTCTGGTTTAAAATAATTTCACCTTCTTCATTAAGGTAATTCATTAAGTACATAAATGAATCTATGTTTAATTTTTTATCACAGGAAAAATTCTTTTTCAACCATAAGTCCTTATTTTTGGTTTTATGTTTCATGTTATAGCACAAAATAGGTGCCCAATAAATATTTGTCAAATAAATTTTCTTAGGGTCTGTACAGCTAGAACAGACTGGATGCCAGTAGCTTTATGTCTTTCATTGAACTCTGAACTAATGAGTGCAGGATGTGAGTTAATGATAACTCTAGGATATTAAGTCTGCTCTGAGGTCCAGATAATAAAAAAATTATCTTCGCTTCACCCAGGGGAGCAGAGTACAAACCTATCCCTGTTGTATGAAAGAGGATTTCTTGCTCTTCTTGCCTTCTGCCGGAGGTGCCATCTGGGGATACTCAGACTGAACTATCTGTTTCTAATAAAAATAATAATTGCTGCCTTTTAATGAATATTTACTAAGTGTTAGGTGCAGGCTAGGCATGCATCATGTCATTTCATCTTTAAAATAACCCTGTGAAGTAGATATTATTATCCCCATTCTATAGGTGAGTAACTTCCACAAAGTCTCTTAGCGGGCAAAATCTAACTCCAGGACCTTTAATCACCTGACTGCTTCTGGATTGAGGAAGAGTCCTGGATCAGGGGTAAGAGTAGGAATTGGAGAGGCTGTTTTTGTTTTTGGATATACCTCTTCATACAGGTAATATAGATGAGAGGAGACAGGGAGAGATGATTCAGTGCCTTTGTCTCTGATATGGCACCAACTCAACAGCAAAGAATGATTGCCTTAATTACTCTTCTGGATGCTGATCAATCCTGGTTTCAAACTGAGCTCTAATAGAACAATGGTGGGATTTGCTTGAACTGTCACTTGTCAGTTACTGAGCAACTACTGAGCACAGAACGTTGGTGAATACAAAACTGGTATTCTCTGTGTATTCTCTGTTTACAAGGAGTTTAAACATGAGTGGGGGGTAAAATATTTGTACACAGAATAATATACCAGCAAATATAAATTAAAGTATCTATTAGCATTGGCCTTTGAATGAAACTCTTTTGTACCTCCTGTGTAAAAGAGAGAGGAGAAGGGGTTACAGATGTGGCTAACTTTGTGCTCTGAATAAATGTTTCCCCATGGCTCAGGAACTTGGGTGATAAGGGTAAAAGAAGTTTTCATAGAGGAAGATAATAAACAAAGTTTCTTATTCTCAGTCCTTCCCTAAGAGATAAATTCTGGATCCAAATGCAGATCAAGAAAATAGGTCAAGAGCACTTCATCTTATGCTCCCACAGTCATAGTTTCATCTTGTGACTCCCTAAGATGTTAGGAGAGTTGAAACTGGTTTTGACTTATCCTGAAAGTGACTACATAGAGCTCTTCCTAGAGCCGATTCTCACAAAAATCTATGGTTGTGGACAAGAGGGAGATCTTTGTTGAAGAACCAGGGACTAGTTCCTCAATTTTCAAAGATCTAAAAGTTAGAAATTAATTACAATCAATGATAACAACATGAAATCTTAGATATAGGGAAAAAATCTTAGAAATCATCTCATATAACTGCTTCTTTTAGATGATGAAATCAAGACCCAAGCGTTAAGTGACTTGACCAAGCATATATGATTTAGTGGTAGATCTGGGACTAGAATTGAGTTACTAATAGATAATTTCTTTCTTACCCTTCCTAGTTTCCTGATTTCTATCTTCAGGACTCCTGAATGTTCTAAGTATTTCCATAATCTTTTGATTAGGCAGAAAGATGACCACAACCCAAGATATTTGTATTTAGGAAGAGCTCAGTCTCAGTTCTCCTTTCCCTCCAATTAAGATCTTGATCTTTTGCTGTAAGGAAAACTACCATTTATTAGGCACCTCCCTTGTGCCAGGGTCTTCATATATATTATCTCACTGAATACTTGTAAGATTGTTGTAAAGTAGACCAGTGCTTCTAACATTTTAGTGGGCATATAAATCACCTGGGGATCTTGTTAATGCACATTCTGATTTTGCAGGTCTGGGATGGGGTTTGAGATTCTGCATTTCTAAAAAGCTTCCAGGAAAAGCCAATAATGCTGTTGATCTGTGGCCCTTATATTGAGTAGCAAAGATGTTGATATTATGTTCATCTTATAGATGAAAAAACTGAGGCTTACAGAGATTAAATAAATTGCCCAAGTTCATACAGGCAGTAAATGGTAGACTAGTGATTTGATCTAAGTCTTTCTGACTCTACAGCTCAAGATGTGATATGAGAAGCCAGGGAAAAATGGAAAGAGAGCTTATATTCCAATATTTCTTAAACAGGTCACTTCTCAAGTGAGTCGATGGCAGAATTCAGGACTAAATCAAAAAGTCCTGCCTCCTGGCCAAGTGTTTCCCCTTTTCTCTCTCATCAGTCCCCTAATCAGGATCTTTCCTTCATGCTTAGCAAACCATATTTAGAATTGGCTTTTGGGTTTTCTCTATTACAGATTTATTGCCAAACCCTGTGCACGCCATGTTGGCATCCTGGACAGTGGTCCTTATCAGACCCAACCCAATGCCATCCTTGAAAAAGTGTTCATATCTATTACTAAGGTAAGTGGGCAAAGAAACAGAGAGGAGATTTCATGTGAGGGATTGCCCTCATAGAGCAGGGGAGGATAGAGAGCAAGTATCTCCAAGAGTAAGGATAGGATGGGGTGATCTTTCACATTTGGGTAGTCCATACAGCTATAAGGAGAACTTTATCCCCTCAGGGAATACCTTTGGGCCAGGATCCCTTAAATAAGTCATACAATTGAGTTTTAAGTCTAGCAGCCACCACCACCCCTCTTCCCCCACACACATCATATCTTGATTGTGTTTTTCCCTGCTCCAGCTTCTGTGATTACCTAGTTACATAATTAAGATGGGCACAGTACTGAATGTAGTTTGGGTTTGTAATGTCTTTTTTTGCTCATCTTGGGCTGAAGGGAGAAGACCAAACAAGGATGTGTATAGGTGAGTGGCAAAGGTCTGTAATGTGTGAAATGGGACTTGTTTTCTTTTTGTGAGGAAGATCGGCCCTGAGCTAACATCTGCCAATCCTCCTCTTTTTTTGCTGAGGAAGACTGGCCCTGGGCTAACATCCATGCCCATCTTCCTCCACTTTATATGGGACGCCGCCACAGCATGGCTTGCCAAGCAGTGCGTTGGTGTGCGCCCGGGATCCGAACCGGCAAACCCCGGGCCAGCACAGTGGAGTGCGCGCACTTAACCACTTGCGCCACTGGGCCAGCCCTGGAAATGGGACTTTTTACTAAAAATGACTTTTGGGATGAAACGTGGAAAGATAAACATCCCTTAATCTGCTGTAGTTATCACCTCTTTGCCACTCAGCTAGTCAAAAGGATTTAATAAAAGGTTTGAAGAGAAAGGGATGTTCTGACTCTGGTCATACATCTACAGTATCCTGATGAGAAAAGGCTGGAGGGCCTGTCAAAGCAACTGGACTGGGATGTCCGAAAAATCCAGTGCTGGTTTCGCCATCGGAGGAATCAGGACAAGCCCCCAACGCTCACTAAATTCTGTGAAAGCATGTAGGTGTGCAGAGGGAGGTGGGGAGTGAGGAGAAGAGTGGGGTATGACTGCACTGAAGTTTTCTTTTTGGAAATCACTTCTCTTATTAGGACAGCAGTCAATGGATTTGGAGGGCTAACTCAGTTTATTATAGGCGGGAAAGAAGAGAACTGGAAGACTGGTCACCCTTAGTTTCTTGGACATGCTTGCTGCTAAGCTAGATGTAGTTCCATTTTGCTCCCCTGTCCCAAGTAGATTGGGAGTGAATTCCTGTAACTGCACTTATGTAGGTAGATGTGTACACCCTTGTACACCTTGATAGAGATAGTACCAGCTTGCTCTAAATTGACATTTTGGTGGGAAGCATCCCTTTTCTGGACATACTATACCTCATTTTACTGGGTTCTTACTAATTATTCTCTGGAAACAGAGCACTGTATTGATCATTGTCATGCAAAAAGAAAATATTAGGAACTACCATTAGGGAATCTGATATGGAAGAAAAGATTAAAACCAGTAGACACTTGTGGAAATCTATTTTAAATAGAGGCTGGAAGGTATCTCTGTCTTTGGCTTTTTAGGTAACAGTATTTGTCTTTATTCTGGGAACTTATCCTGTTTCTCACCAAACTGTCTTATCCCCAGATCTGCTATCTTGACTTCCCTGGCCTCAAAGACTTTCTTTTGAGTGGATATTCATCTAACCTCTACTCTTTGCCCACCCAGGTGGAGATTCACTTTTTATTTATGTATATTCTGCTACGGAATTAGATTTCTCTGGTCGGTGAGTCTAAACTTCCTCTGGTCCTCTGTTGAGTTCTAATCATGCTGACATCTCTAGAGATAAGAGATACCTTTAGATGTTTATTTTTCCCTTTTTTTCCTCTCTCTTTGTGATGCCTATAGCCCAAGTTTATATGCTAAATAGATTGTCTTCTGGCTGGGGCCTGACTTCAGTAGCCTCATAACTCTACTGTTTCTTCGCTAAATAATACTGATAATATCAGTGTTAATTAAATCAGCATAGTACATGATGGTTTGCAAAGCACTTGACAAAAATCCTGTTCTTCCAAGGACGAGACAGATACAGAAGTGGAATCAGTAACCCTTTAAAGTGGGAGAAACAGGTATTATTCCCACTTTCCAGTTAATTGTCAGAATCAAAGAAGAATTTCAGGCTTTTTGATTACTGATTTCATGTTTTTTTCCACTGTATTTTCCTCTAAATGATATAATTGAGACTTCAAAATACATGAAGCAAAACGTAGCAGAACTGAAGGAAGAGAATAGACAAATACACAATCATAGTTGGAGATTTTAATACTCTTCTCTCATTAGTGATTTTTTTGTCTAGTGATTTAGTCAATTAATGATGTAGAAGATTTGAATAACACAATCAATCAATTTGACCTAATTGATTGACATTTATAGAACCCTATACCAACAGCTGAAGAATATATATAATTTTCAAGTGTACATGGAACATCAATTAAAACAGACCATATGCTAGACCACAAAATGTCTCAGTAAATTTTAAAATATTAAAATTTTACAAAATGTGTTCTCTGACCATAATGAAATTAAATTAGAAATCAATAATAATAGGATATCTAGCAAATATTTGGAAGTTAAACAGCTCTTCTAAATAACCCATAATGAAACAAGAAATCACAAGAGAAATTAGAAAATATTTTGAATTAAATGATGCTGAAAATACAACATAGCAAAATTTGTGGGATGCAGCTGAAATATCCTTAGAGGGAAATTTATAACTTTAAATGTTTATATCAGAAAAGAAGAAAGCTTTAAAATCAGTGAGCTAAGTTTCCACTTTAAGATCTGGAAAAAGAAGAGCAAAGTAAACCCAAAGTAAGTTAAAGGAAAGAAATAATAAAAAGTAAGCAGAAATAAATAGGCATTAGACAAACAACAGGAAAAATTAATAAAGCCAGAAGTTGGTTCTTTGAAAGGTTTAATTAAAATTGATAAATCCCTAAAAGAAAAAGAGAGAAAACAAATTATCAATATCAGGAAGAAAAGGAGGTTATCACTACAGATCCCTTGTAGACATTGAAAGGATAATAAGATAATATTATGAACAATTTAATAGTAATAAATTCAACAACTTAAATGAAATGGACAAATTCCTTAAAGGACATAATTGAAACTGCATTAGAGATGATTGCTGTTGATTTTTGACTCTTCAGCATGGGGATCTCTCTCAGTTATCAAATGGAACTGTTGCCTTCCTGCCTCCCTATTTCCTATATCCCAAGTGACAGTGTTTCCAAAAATTATCCTAGAACTCTCCCTGCTCTTATTTACCTCAAAGCATGGTTTTTCTATTTGTAATAACACTTTTTGTTCTAGAAGAAAAATATAGCTATTTATTGACTCTTTAAGGATCCCTAAATTCTGTCAAGGGTGGTGCCTTTTTCCTTCCCATCTCTCTTTTGCGCCTAGCCTAGAGAGAAGGGGATTATATAGGTAAGCCAGGAGAGAATCCTGAAGGCTGACTTGGATTGTCTTTCTTTTTTCTCTTAGTCACCTTGGTTCTGGGACACCAGACAGTGCTGGCATAGCTATCCATACCAGGTAGGATTGGAACCCTTTCAAGACAGGGGCCTTGTGTGGGTGTGTAAGGTGGGGTGGGGGAGAGTGCATTGCCAGTCGCAGGGCCAATGGTATGTTTCCTTGGTATTCTTGAGGGATTAGGGGCTGAGTCTCTTTGCGTCCTATATTCAAGGTATCTATTTCTGGGGCCCCCACAGTGGTGAAACATAGTGATCTTTTTGTTCCACGTTCCCCATTGTATTCATCCTAATTGAGCTGGAAAGAAAAGCAGCTTCCTGGCACTTAATGAGGTGCTTTCTGGTTCAGGCATCCCTTTTGAATCAAGGATAACTTGGAATCCCCTCAAGAGCATCTTGCTTCTAATCTATACTAGAAAAATGTCAGGGAGCTGCTAACAGAGAGGAAGAAGGGAAGGCCTCAGTATATTAATCCCCTGAAGAGCATCAACTGCCCAGAATTCTAGGCACACTGATTTGATTGTGCTATAGTATGTTTAACCTTATCTGATCTCTATAAGATGAGAGCTGAAGATATATATGTGGAAGGGCAGAGGGAAGAGGTTTAAGTCTCCACACCAATCCAAAGTCTGTTAGCTATTGCAGATCTTGGGGGATAATAGGGAGGAAGGATGTCTAATATTGGTCCTCCAAGACAAAGAAAATTGTAGAAATGGAATGAATCTCTGACTAGCTAGTACTCTAACTACCTCTTTTTTTCTTCCAGTCTCTGACAAGTGGGCTTTATTACTATTATATCATGGAATTGGCCTTCTATTGGTCTCTTATGTTTTCTCAGTTTACAGACATTAAAAGAAAGGTAAGGACATTGGTTCCTTCAACTCCCTAACTTATTGCGTTCTCCTTTCTAGCAGCTACATTACTGCTATTTGTGAGGGATTCTCTGCCCTGATAGGATCACAAAAGAGGGAGAAAGTAGGTTTGCTGGGACTATTAGCTCTTTGTCATGTTCTCAGAAATGAGACCTGACTAATGATGAGGTATATTTGAGACATTCAGAGCAGCCAGGATGAGAACAGTTAATCAGCTAAGAAGCATCCAGTTTTCCTTATTTTTCTCCAAGGTTCTTACATGTATAAAGCTCAGGAAACTAATCAGAATTTAGGGATAGCAAGGCCTGATCCAGAAAAAGGCCTGATTCCAGAAAAGCTGGATCTGGCTTTGTTTGGCATTAGGGACCCTTGTTCTCTCTCTGCTCTCCCTTCTTGGTGACCCCAATTCTCAAAGCATGTCAACTAGAAGGGGTTTTAGATAATTTAGTTTACCCTTTTCTTGCTATTTTTTAGGAAACAAAGATTCAGAGAAATGAGTTGACTTGCCCACATAGTGACAAAGTTGGAAATGACTTACGTTTTTTATAAGCAGACAGAAAGGACAGAATCTTCACCTTTTATTGGTGTCCACCTGACATAATATGGTTCCAGCAGCTCTAACCCTAATCCCTAATCTGTTACTATCTCATGGTTATCTTTGGTAAGGAAAACCAGGGTTAGCATTTATGGGAATGGATTGAAACTAATCTGGGTTATTAGTTGTTGTGTAACCTAGAAGCTTGATACTTAGTTCAGATGCCTTTCCCTCTCCTGTGGTCAGGAGACACAGGTCCCCTTATAAAATTTTATTTTAACACATGACACATATAAAAAGGTTTGTAATATATTTGTAAGTTTTAAAACATACTAGAATGTGTACTTTTGAACCTATTCCCAGCTCAAGAATTAGAACATACCATTGTATCTGTGGGGAGAGAGCACAGACTTTTCATTCTTGTTTCTCTGACCCAAATTCACCTGTCTTCTCCCACTCTCTGTCCTTCACTGGGCTGAGTATTTATTAGATGTGTCTGATAACTCAGGTATTCAGAGATTTCTCCAGGTCTAACCTTGGCATTTGAACCCAGGAGGAAATTACAGCTTTAAATCAAAGCAGGAAGTATTTGCAGTAAGATGGATTGTTTAGCATTTCTCTGAAACTTTTTGGAACAGTTTGGCTTTGCCCCTCCACAAACCTCTCCTTTCTGTTAGGTCCCTTTGGTTGAAATTTCCTTCATCAAAGTAGAAGACTCTTAGAATCTCAGGGATATCTAAGGCTTATATGTCTGACTACCACCTGGGAAATTATTCCCAAGTATCAGCTCAGCATTCATGCTCCACATATTCTGCAACTATCAAAGAAAATTGATCTTTTCTGTGCTTTGAGCTATATTAACGTAGATTATGGGTCAGTCACTAATGTAGAGAGTTTGGGATTAAATGCTAGGGAGCTCCCTAAAACAGAATGAAACCTCTAAGGGGTGGCATAAGATCCTCAGAGAACAGTGCAGGGCATTGAGTTGGATAGCATCTCTGTGGCCTTGCCTTGACCTGCCTCTTCTATTTCCATTCTGTCCTAGGACTTCCTGATTATGTTCGTGCATCACTTGGCTACCATTGGGCTCATCACCTTCTCCTACATCAACAACATGGTTCGAGTGGGAACTCTGGTCATGTGTCTACATGATGCCTCAGACTTCTTGCTGGAGGTAAGACCCTGACCCCTCTTTCCTTATTATACCTTTCTTTCTCTCCTCTTCTTCCTATGTGAGAACTGGCTATCTCCGCAACTTAATTCTTATCTTCCTTTCTCCAGGCAGCCAAGCTGGCCAATTATGCCAAGTATCAGCGCCTCTGTGACACCCTTTTTGTGATCTTCGGTGCTGTTTTTGTGGCCACTCGTCTAGGAATCTATCCATTCTGGTAAGTGTTAGGGCTGTGGAGCTATGATACGTAGGTAGCTAATGATATCTTTTGCCAATTTAGGGAACAGACCACCAAGATCCCTATTGCTTGCTTTTTCCCTGGCCTAACCTGACCCTTTATGGACTCTCACAGGACCTCAGTTCCCATGCACGATATTTCTAGTGAGGTGTGATCCAGACTCAGAGAATCCAACTCACTTGGCTCTGGCTTTCCTGACTCATTCTCAGGAACAGTCTGCATTTTATGCCTGAGTAATTCCTTTCCCTTCTTTTGCACTGATTACAAAATTCTCAGGCTCTTCTTGCTTATTTTCCTGCTCTGTACCCTCTTCCTTCCCCACCCTAACCAGCATACACACACTGTCACTTCTACACTCGCTACTTTATAGCACAAAGCGAATGACTCTGTGGGTTGGAGATTCTTCTTAGTCTGAGGGAATCTTCTACCAACTATCCTATATGTGCCTAAGGAGCTGAGTAATTCCTAGGATTATGATCCTGTTGCCATCCCAATTTCGTGAAATTCTGCATATTTGAAGCAATTAATAATATGACTTACTCCATCAGTCCTTAAGATTTATGTATCTTCACCTGTCCCTAAAGATAGAAAACTCTGTAGGCCCCTTTTCTTTATTCTTTTCTCACTGTGGATGAATATCCTTGGAACTTCAACTGATAGAAGATAGAGGGAGGAAACACACAGGGTTCTGCTTCCCAGGAAACTCAGCTTCATCCCTGTCTGCCTGGCTTTGACTCTAGAATCTGACCATTGGCCTCCCTCTTCTAGGGTTCTGAACACGACGCTCTTTGAGAGTTGGGAGATGATCGGGCCCTATGCCTCCTGGTGGTTCTTCAATGGGCTTCTCCTGATCCTACAGGTTCTGCACGTCATCTGGTCCTACCTAATTGTGCGCATTGCTTTCAAAGCCTTGATCCGAGGAAAGGTGAGGGTGAAAGACGGCTTCTTTCTTTGGGGCTGGGTGGGAAGATACGTATTACTCAATAGACCTCTCTGTCTAGCCTAGTGAGCCCCGTCTACACAAGCAGACCCAGCAGAAAGCCTAGGGCTCCAAAGTTTTCACCTTTTTTATAAGTTTGAGTGTTTAGCCTTTTAAAACATGGCTTAGATGCAAAAGGAAGGATCTGCCTTCTTCCTGTCCCTTAGGAATATCTGTTGTTAAATAATGAACAGGATTAAGTTTGGAGATGCCCCCAACCATTTCCTACCCCTTACCTACCTACTTCAATGGATTTCATATTTTTGTTTTTAATGTGGGAGCCTTTTTTCAAAGGAAATCATATGCAGAGCTCCAAGATATAAACTGTATAAAAGCAGAGATGTTAGATTGCCTAGGAGTGGTGTGGTAGTTCACAAGCTACCCCAAGATGACCACACTGTGATGTTCAAGATATGGTTTATGCAAGGGACTAAGTACCAGCCTTACCCGACTGTTGTATGAGGCAAGGGTCCTCAGTGAGATGGGTATTTAGGGTTTCAAATGCCCATCTTATGCCAAGAGCCCAAAAGCACAAAGAAAGGTGTCATTTATGATAAAACTCATAACTGAATTTTCCAAGTTCTGAAACAGTCAGGCTTTGATTAGCCCAAGGGCTGGGGATTCAGCCCTCAGTAAGACAGAGTCCCAAGGGGAAGGGGTTCTACTAGAGAGGACACTGACTCTAGGACAAAGGGATGGAATGTTACTCAGGCATATATGATCTCTGTGTCACTGTTCCTTATGGCTGCAGTTGGTTTCAGAACTTGCTCAGTGTGCCTGTGCATCTTGCTGTAGCTACTGGACATCTCTTTTCTCCCCTGCTTTTCTTTCCTGACCAGGTAACCTATCCAGGAAGGATTAGACCCAGACTCTGTACTCTCCACTCTTTTCTCACCTCCTTCCTTTTTTCTATGCCTGGTGGGAGCTGGACAGTTTCATCTCTTGCATGTAAGTGTACTGTGCTTCTAGTATTCCGTGAAGCATGTCTGTCTGAATGTGTTTCCCTTCCTTCCTGCTTTCCTTTCTGTTCCCTGTGTTGTCTCAGAATGTGCTCTCTCTCCTGACTTTGTGGGGCCATTGTTGACTGGAGCTGAAGTTGGCAGATTCTTTTTCCTAAATTGAGGCAAGACTATTCTGTTTTTCCTTTCCTTTTTTATTATCTTTTTCCCCTTTTTGAGCCTCCCTTTACCTCAAATCTAGACACACTCTGCCCTCTGGTGGAAATTTCCTAAAGATCAGGTAGTTAGTTATCTGGATTCAGAGGTCAATAGCTATAGAACCTTACAGTTAACCAAAGCAAGTGGCCCACTCCTTGGCAACAGCAATTGTAGTTTTGTTTCCTTTTTCACTCCCTTCTCGCCTTTACTTTTTTTTAAAAAAACACACATTTATTATCCTTCAGTTCTGGAGATCAGAAGTCTGACATAGGTCTCACTGGATTTTTCTCCTTTACTTTAGGGTCCATGGTAGAGAGTTTGAAATACTTTGCTTGATATGCAGGATAGTTAAGATTGGGAGACACTGCTCTAATCCAAACTTTTCATTTGAAAATACAAAACAAAAAAACTGAGGTTAAGAGGTAAAGATTCACAGGTAGTAGCATGATTAGGGCTGGGATTCTTTTCCCACTGACTGCCAATCTGCTTTTCTTTTCACCATGTGTATCTTGGGGATGCCGAAGTTGCATAAGAGAAGTGATCTTGCTACTGGAGAAATGGTGTTGTGGGGTAGTGATAGTTGACCCCATGAAGAGTAGAACTACTGAAAAAGGCCCAGTTGTGGATCAGCTTTCTTTGGCAATAAAGCAAAACTTAAGATAACCAGTATGAACTGCAGTGGCCACAACCATCAGCAGATAGAAGCAGTGATGACAGCCATATGTATTGTGTGTCCTTTTCTATTTTTTGAGGTGAAAGAGGGAAAAGGGTGTCTGGAGTTTCCCTCAAATCTAACCTCAGTGAATGATTTCAGCTTTCTTAGGCTGCTCCTGAAAGATATACCCCTCTACCAAAGCAACTTATTCCATAGAGAACAGAATCAGAGAGGATGAGAAAGAAAGCAGACAAAGGATATTCACAACAGTAGCCATGGTCCAGATAATATTTTGAGTCAGGTGCCACCAGAAAGTAGGCCAGATTGGGAATAGTACCCAAAGATGGGCTCTGTGGGCTCAGTCTGTCTTATGATTCCAGAAAAGTTCTGTCCTCACCTTTCCTACCTTGGGCCCCATCCCACCCAGGTATCTAAGGATGATCGCAGTGATGTGGAGAGCAGCTCAGAGGAAGAAGATGTGACCACCAGCACAAAAAGCCCCTGCAGCAGTAACTCCAGCAATGGTGCCAATCGGGTGAATGGTCACATGGGAGGCAGCTACTGGGCTGAAGAGTAAGGCAGTTGGTATGGGGACTTCAGCACACGTGGACTTGTAGGGCCACTGGCAGCCTACTCCTCTTGGGCCTCTCCCCATCTACACTTCTGTGACTTTGGGGTCTGCAGGGCACTGAAGAGAATCAAAGAAGCAAATATTTTCACTTTTTAAAAAATTTCTGCCATTTTGTATTTAATAGCCTCCAGGTTCTTTCAGTAATGTTATTTGCTCTGTGTGTGTGTGTTTGTGTGTATTCGTGTGCATATGCATTTGTGCATATGCATGAGTTTCATTGCCTGGGTTGGGGCACAAATCTAGACTGGGGCCACTAGGCCTTGCCTGGTCCCCTTTGAACCCACCTCAATTCCAGATTTGACTACATCTTGAATTATGCTGGCTCCGGACTGTCCCCTCCCTTGTTGCCCATGGCTCCTGAGGCTCTGGCCATCTGAATAGAGCAGCCAAGTTCAGCTCAAAGTTCTGCACTGTTCTTCTTCGGAGCTGGAATATTTCACGTGAAGTTGTATAGAAACAGACAAGCATGGATGGATGGCCAGAATTGCTGTGGTCCCTAGCTAGATCCGCTTCCTACCCTGCTCTTTACTCAATGGTACGCAAGGAGTTGGGGGTGGGAGAGGGTGAGCTTAGGGCTAGAGGACAATGGCCACTGGGTGAGCTGTTAACGGTTTATACTGTTGTTTACTATTCTGTGATTAAAAGTGCTTCAACCCTCCTTTGCTGTCTCAGCCACTTTTAATGAAACTATCCCCAATTCCCTGAATTCATAAGCTAATTAAGAAGTTTTTCAGGTCTGATTCTAGAGGCCCTTGGACACCAAATTTTTCCTTTCTCTGCAGGCTGGGAAAAGAGTACCTACATTTTAGGGTTTTAAGGTGGTTTTTGTTTTTTTGGGTGAGGAAGATTGGCCCTTAGCTAACATCTGTTGCCAGTCTTCCTCATTTTGCTTTGAGGAAGATGGTCACTGAGCTAACATCTGTGTCAGTCTTCTTCTATTTTGTATGTGGGATGCCGCCACAACATGGCTTGATGAGCGGTGTATAGGTTCGCATCTGGGATCCGAACCCGCGAACCCAGGGCTGCTGAAGCAGAGTGCGTGAACTTAAGCGCTACACCACCCGGCCGGCCCCTAGGGTTTTAAGTTTTAAGGAAAAAATAAACATGTATAGTGGTTACAAGCAAAAATACTGAGCAGATAAAAGCATGTATATGCCAAACCAACAGAGGCTTTGGTTGAAGAGCTAAAACGCCTTTAATTAGACGCCTGTATTTTCCATATTATTGAATACAGAGACTGCCAGTTAACATTTTAAGATTGCGATAAGTGAGTCTGAGCAGATGTTTTCTTGGTTCTGTTTTCTCTTTTTTTTTTTTTAAAGATTTTATTTATTTATTTTCCCCCCAAAGCCCCAGTAGATAGTTGTGTGTCGCAGTTGCACATCCTTCTAGTTGCTGTATGTGGGACGCGGCCTCAGCATGGCCGGAGAAGCAGTGCGTCGGTGCGCGCCCGGGGTCCGAACCCGGGCCGCCAGCAGCGGAGCGCGCGCACCCAACCGCTAAGCCACGGGGCCGGCCCCTGTTTTCTCTTTTATCCCATGGAGAAAGTCTTCCTAATCCAGATTTTTCTCTAGTTGAGGTCTTGGCAAAATCACTAATAGTGGTATTCATCTCTCAGAATAGTTTTCCATTTAGTGAATATTCAGATTATCAGGGCCGGCCCCGTGGCTTAGCAGTTAAGTGCGTGCGCTCCGCTGCCGGCGGCCCGGGTTCGGATCCCGGGTGCGCACCGGGGCACCACTCCTCCGGCCATGCTGAGGCCGCGTCCCACATGCGGCAGCTGGAAGGATGTGCAGCTATGACAGGCAACTATGTACTGGGGCTTTGGGGGAAAAATAAATAAAATCTTTAAAAAAAAAAAAAACATATTCAGATTATCAGAATATTTCCAGATGCTCTTGTGTATATTAAGACATATGGAGTGCTTCATTGTCAGGGAGATGCATGAAAATTGAAAGAAATATGTTGTTCTAAGAATCAGATACTCACTTGATGTTCATTAACATTATTGGGATATTGACCCTACTAAACTTACTGAGTTGGCTGGATTTTAAGAAGACTTACTATACGGCATGGGAAAATTAAGTTCTAAAAAATCTTACACTGTTAGTTGGTCAGAGCTAGTCAGGAAGACTAAAAGACCGAGGTCTTAGATTTAGTTCCTCACCTTGCCATATTGTTGAATAGACTAGTAATTGTGAAATATGAATGAAAAATGCTTTTGAAAGTCAGACAAGATACATAGTTTGCCTTTTGAAATTTTTTAACATTTGTAAATACAATCTGGATTAGTTGGCCTGCTTAATCGGACAAAAGATGCAACCAAGTGATATAATAATAAAAATAAAAATAGCTAACATAGCTCTTTATTACATGCCAGGCATTGTATTAAGCAGTTTACATATGAAAAAAATGAAGCAAAAAGTGGTTAACTTGCCTAAGGTCAAACAGCTAGTAAAGAGTCACACTCAGTGTCTCTATTCTTGACCACTATCCTATCCACTTCCCAAGATGTCATAATAAGGAAGAATAGATACTGAAGAAACATTTAGACAGAGGCATAGACTGATGAGAGTTTCCCTTGGATGAGTGAATTGAGATTAGGGTTAATTACAGGAACAGGGTCTTGTTTTGAAAGGTACTGTATGCGTATAGTTGGAGTGAGGGGTGAGAGAGAGGGCGCTAGGGGGTTTGAATACAGAACTGGAAGAAGATAGTGTTACTGGAACAACAAGACTGTCAGAAGGCCAGTTTTGTAGATGGCCTGGGAAGGTTTCATGCCTGATAGGAAGGACCCAAATCAGTGGAGAGTGGGTTAGATGCAGACTCACATCATCCCTACCAGAGAACTAGGAATAGCTGTAAGAGAAGCAAGGCATTACTTCTCCTCTGTTGAATATAAACGGGTTTTAACTTTATTATTTATTTAAAAAAAAACTTATGTTTGTATAGTGCTTTACTGCTTAGAAAAGGATTTCACATACATCAAAAAAAGTGAACTTCCAAACACTTGTGTAAAAGTAGGGATTATTATCCCCATTCCAAATTGAGTGTTCTGAGTGTCTATCACTAAGTAACTAACGACCCTAAAATACAGTGGCTTAAAAGAACAATTTATTATTTCTCATGGCTTGATTCGTTGACTGAGCTCAACTGGAGATATCTCATGTGGTTGTGGTCAGATAGCAGCTGGTAATGGAGTCATTTGAAGACTCAACTGGGCTTGATGTCTAAGATGATTTGCTAGCCTGGCTAGAAGTTAATGCTGGCTGTTCCCTAGGAACTCAGTCAGGGCTGTCAACTAAAGTACCTACACGTGACCCCTCGGTGCATCTTGGGCTTTGCACAAGTGGTTGTGGTCCAAGAGGCAAGACGCATAAGTTGCTAGGCCATTTAAGAATTTCGTCTGGAACTGGCACACATCACTCCCACTGTATTCTATTGATCAAAGTAGTCACGCAGACCACCTAGATTCAAGGGGGTGACTCTACCTCTTGAAGGAGTGGCAAGGTCACTGCAGAAGAGCATGTGGAATGGGAGATACAGTTGCATGCATCTTTGAAAAATTCAGTCTGCCACAATGAGGAAACACTTTCCAAAGTTCTTTAAAAAAACACAAACACCTTAGATTGCCCATCACGTATCATGAGTTTTCATATTGTCACAATCCTAAAAAATAATCACAGGAGTTTAGTTAGTGGGTGATAGTATGCTGATTTTAAACCAAGTTCTTTAGCCTTTAGATCCAGTATTCATGCAGGGAGATATTTTCAGTTCAATAAAACATTTATTAAGTACCTACTTTATGCAATATGACAGAAACTAGGGACAGAAAGATGAACAAGATCTGGTTTCCACCCTCAAAGAGCACATACCCCGGTTATTGGGGGGGGGCGGATAATACAATGTGATAAGAACTATTCTAGGGGGCCAGCCCAGTGGGGCAAGCAGTTAAGTGCACGCGCTCCGCTTTGGCGGCCCGGGTTTGCGGGTTCGGATCCCGGGTGCGCACTGATGCACCGCTTGTCATGCCATGCCGTGGCGGTGTTCCATGTAAAGTAGAGGAAGATGGGCACAGATATTAGCTCAGGGCCAGTCTTCCTGGGCAAAAAAAGAGGAAGATCAGCATCAGATGTTAGCTCAGGGCTGATCTTCCTCACCAAAAAAAAAACCTATTCTAAATTATTCTTGGCAAGTTGGGAGAAAACTTGAAAGTGGAGCTGGGCCATTAAAGATGAGTACAGTTTTGCCAAGAAAACAGGAATGGAAAGGTATTATGTTTAGAAGAGATGTGAGAGTATATGCAAGATATCAGTTCTAGCTTAATGCAGACTAAAATAACCTGAGACAAACATCTAGAAATGGTGGATTAAGTATTTGTTTTGTTTTGTTTTATTTTTTAATGCATAGTTGAGCTTCCAAGAAAGGGACACAAACGCAGAAGGCAAAACAGCTGATGCAATTACTGGAGGGATAAGGGGAATATAACTTAAGGACTTGAGTTTTAATGCTGACAAGAGACAAGACTGTGGTCCCACGCAGGAAGCTGGAACTGGGCCCTCCAGATAAAGCTGGAACCCTGCAAGAGCAACAGCCTTAGTGAAAGGGCAGAACTATTACAAATCACCCAGCTGGCAAAAGGAGAAAGCAAGGAAGTTTGAATGTTTGGGCTTGTGGGGTCGGGAGACTCTTGAGAAGTTTCTCAAATTCTAGACCCACACTTTATGTGGGAATTTGAGAACCTAAGGGACACTTCCTGTGTGGGCTGGGAAACACCATGAACCCCCACGCCATCCCAGGTAAGAACTTGCATGAAAATGGGTCTCAGATCAGTTATGGGACTGCTCTGAAGAGACCTCTGCATGATGATGCACTCAATGTGGGATTCTTACACCACTACCACTGCCACCACCCCCCCAAGTAAACAAACTCCAAAAGATGATCTCAGACCTGCAACATATATAACTAATAAAATACTAGTATCCAGGATACGTATAATTAAAGAAACAACAAAGACAACCCAATAGCAAGAAAAAGGCGGGGGGGTGGGGAGTGGCAAAGAATAGGCAATTCCTAGAGGGTGAATATGCTAATGGTAATAAATCAATAAAAGTGTGCTCAGCCTTACTGGAAATCACTGATACATAAATTAAAATGAATAGAAACCACTTCACACCAACAGAATAGAGACATGTTGCTGGTGAGAGTGATACTGACATAACCACTTTGGAAAAGCAACTTAATAACTAGTAAAGCTAAATATTAGTAATAATTCCTCTTTTAGAGAAACCAGCACATGGGCCCAAGAAAACGTCCAAGAATACTCATTGCATTGCTATTTATAAAAGGGAAAAAATGGAAGCAACCCAATCATCTTTCACTAGAGGAATGGAATAAATTGATTTACTCATGTAATTGGATTATTATTTTTTTTTGTGAGGAAGATCAGCCCTGAGCTAACATCCGTGCTAATCCTTTTTTTTTTGTGCTGAGGAAGACCGGCTCTGAGCTAACATCTATTGCCAATCCTCCTCCATTTTCTCCCCAAAGCCCCAGTAGATACTTGTATGTCATAGTTGCACATCCTTCTAGTTGCTGCATGTGGGACGCGGCCTCAGCACGGCCGGAGAAGCGGTGCGTCGGTGCGCGCTGGGATCC